TTCCTTTCCCATAACTTTAATGGTTGATCATCAAAGCATGGAGAAAGTTCCTCTTTAAAGGATTTTACAAATGCCTCAATCCTTAAAGAGTTCTTTTGGCTCTCGTTTTCAACCTTCAAGATTTTTTCCGTATGTATGAATTTATCCGTGCTCTCAAGGCATGCACCAGAGGGATTATCCTCCTGCGATATACCTCGTGCGATCCGGTCTGTATGATAACTATGATACAACCTTTGAAAGAAAACATTACAAGCCTCATCCACTTCTTCTGCATCAGAAGATTTCAACCACCAATTCTTTGTTTCCAAAACTTGGAAAACAATGTGATCTTCTTCTTGCCTTAGTTTCATCGGTTTAAAACCGTTTCTCATTTCAGAGAGTTCAGGCTTAGCAAGAATAGGGATTTTATGTCCTCCAAGGATAATGTGGTCGTTATCCTGAGTAAATGGCCTACCTTCTGCTTGACCTCGCAGAAAGCTATTTCCGAGAATAAAATCTACCTCCAAGTAATCCACTATTAGGACTTCCCTTAGAGTGATTTTTTTCTCGTTTAACAGTACAACCACGTTTTCTACCACATCCGTGATCATACTTTGACCTCCATCTGCAACTGTATTTAGGATAGGTTTTTCCAATGGTTTCCAAAGCTCTTGTGGAAAACATTGCTTCCTTGCAATACATTTGGTTGCTCCTGTGTCTACAAGAATATCCAGAGTATATTCCTCATATTCTGGAAAACACAGTTTAGCATGTATGCATGTGTCAATAGTCCCCTGAACTATTGCATGACAATGCATTTCATGACTCATCATCATTTTCGTGCTTGGAGTCTCTTCTTCATATACTGGGATTTGCACAGATTTATACCTAACTATTTTCCTGCTATTGCTACTTCCAGCATCACTAGCAGTGTCATCTGTTTTCAGTATATTTTTACTTGATATAATATGTTGAATTTTCTTATTCCGCTCTAGAGACATCGAATTTCTAGGCGTAAGAAAAGTAACTCAACCTCATTATCAAGTTCCTGGATTTGAATTCCCCGATTTGGGTTTAATTCCACCACGCTGGGCTGCGTGGAATATTCCAAAACCCATCGTTTCGGCCACATAAGAGCCTTAGCATTGACTACCGTAGGTCGAATCGGAATTACAGAATCTTGTCCCGAGCCATGAACCTCAGTATCTGCACTGGAGTTCATACGTATAGGATTAACAGAATTTAGCAAGCGATAAATTAACCTATACTGAATTGCTATTCCATCACTAGAAGTCATCAAGTCTTCTAGTCCGGAAAAATAAATTCGAAGAACCATAATCCGTTTGAGGTTTGGATCCTGGAGACTAACCATATATCCTGGTTTAATAGTTCCGTAGGCATCTCCCAAAGCTAAGTTAGCGTGAAAACCGCAAACTAGAGCTTTACCAAACGTAAGCCATTGTCTGTCCAGTAAGGCGACCTGAACAAGTACATTCATTCCTCCACGGAATAGTCACTGCACACAAATCTGTACAACACCAAGTTGTACATAATTGTACTTGCCATTTGCCCGTTTGACAAGATTTCGAACCTTCCATAGCCACTTGTCATTCGAGAGTACTAGTTCTCCCTCTCGAGATTTAGACAAAGCTACACGAACAGGTTTTTCGTGTATATCTTCCAAGCCTTCAGTTTTAAATAACCACTTAGAGCATTTCTCAAAAACCTCTCTAGGTGTTAACCTCGGAATTACCCAATTATCAGGGTTACCCTAGTGATCCTCATAATTAGATGATGAACTAATTATCGAGTTAGGATTTTCATCTTCATTTCTAATTAGGATAAGATCATCCTCATCACCAATGCCGCTAATCCTAGGATATTCATTAAGACTTCTAGTCCGTTGCATGAATATACCTACGCGTTGAAGATTTGAAGATTGTTCCTCAAAAGTCATATCTTTTGAGTTATCCTCTGAAGAATCGGAATCATCAGAGTAATCCGAAATTAATTCATAAACCTCATCATCTGAATCAATTTCGTATCCCCAAACTGGCTCAAATTCATAAGTTTGACTTTCCGCGTTGACTTCCAAAAATCGTACCGCAATCTTCTTTTTTCCCTTATGAGGGCATTTGTCCGCAAAATGATTTTTGTCACCACAAATCCAGCAACAATTACAATCTTTTGCGTTTTTGCTGGATGGGCAGGTAGCACAAAACTTACGCGCTCTGCGTTCCTTAGCGTTAAGTCTACCTTCCCTGTTCGCCTAATAAACCTTCCATGATCCGAAAGATTCCGTTTATTAGTAACATGTCGTTTTACCATATTACGAAAACGTTTAGGCTTAAATTTTCTTTTACCGAACGATCCTTTTCGTCTTATATGGGTTTTCCAACCTTGATGTTTAGTCGAATTCCTCGACTCATAGCCATATTGTCCTAGCACGCCATCAAAGTTTTGACAACAAGATTCGTTGAACTCAAGCCTTTTAGCTTCTTTATTCAGCTTGACATTCAAACATCTTGTCCTCACAAGTTGTCTAACAGCTTCTATTCGTCCTCCCAAAGAATCAACAACCTGATTCTTTTCAAGTAGAAGCTTAAACGCCTCGTTTGCTGCCTTATCCCATCCTGGGGAAAGCTTAGCAAAGAAAGTATTCTTCATGACTTCTTGTGTGCCACCAGGCAACTGATAAAAATATCGTTTATACTCACAGACGAAATTTTCAAACAAACACATGTCACAAAGCCTAAGCTTTGTTAAATCTTCTAAGGCAACTACCTCTGCAAGATTCCTACTGGTAATAGTGATCCCAGTAAATTCTCGACAGAGCATATCCTTGAAAAGTGCAAAGATAGCCTCTCCATTCTTTAAGTCCCTTACAGTATCTAACAGACCAGTACCAGTTTATAGACTTCTCCAAAAGCTTCCTGTAGCTTTATGCAGTGTGGATCTTAGAAACTTGTAAGTATCACTGAGTCCAAAGTTCTTGTTTTGTATATGAACCCAGTTAACAGTTTCTCATGCTTCGATTACATCCGTTATATTCATAACACAATCGATGTTTAGGAAACTTTCGCTAGACGGTATCTCCACCATTCTAGGTATTCCCCTAGGTATAAACTCCGACCTTATCCTTGTGGGATAAGTTTATTTATATTCGGGTTTAGAGATTTCCTTAAGGAATCCTTCAAAAGAATTTAAAGGATTACGAATTCCTTCAAGGGGATCATCTTTAAACTCAGATTCCCTGAGTTTCAAGATTAGCTCATCGAGCTTCGCCTTTTTAGGACCTAGAGTAAGTTTTAATCCTCCAGTTTCGTCTCCTTTCCTTTGTTTCTTCATTTCTTCCTCATAATACCTGCTGATTCGTTCAGCATCTGAGGTAGAAATTTTCGGAATATCAACCTTCTGTTTTCCATCCACTTTAGAAACAAAGTCTTCTTCTTTGACACCTTTCATAAAGAGTTTTTTCGCCTTTTCCCAATCACCTTGGGTTTCTTTGGCCACAAACTGTGCACATCCTGGAGGCAATCCAGGATATTTTTTCTGCAAACTAGCCGCGAACTGATCCAAAACATCCTGACCACCCATGGTCAATCTGAATCAGGTCTCAACTCAGTTGCAAAGTCTGACTCTTTGTATGGTGTAGGATCTGGATCCGATTGGGATTCGCCGTACCAGTAAGGAATTACCGCCTCAGCTTTTTCCAACCACTTATTCCGAAGCTCTAGCTCAAAGACTTCAATGGTGGAAATCCGACAAATAAAACACAAAACCTTTGTGCACCCTTGACTAAAAGCCTTTTGAATAACATCCAAAAGTCGCTTTACACCTAGCCAAGTCAAATATACTTCTCGAATATCTGGGTTGCCGTTACAGAGGTCTAACACAACCCATTAAACCTCTGGTTCCGTATATCCTTCAATAGGCCACACTTGTTCGATGTCACTCAACACCAGAGATATCTCCTATCTTACCGACTTAGTAAAATAGTTAAAACACGTTCCAATGTTTTGACCTTTTGAAGTACAGAATTAACCTTTTCAATCTGATTTCCGATCTGGGTTAATTCTTCGTTTAGAGCAAATATACGATACACCGTATAATTCACTCTCCTATCTATGTTTTCAAGCTTCTGGTCAAAAGCTCTAACTTATCTACAACAGTATTTAACAAACCGATCTCCAGTTTTCCCTCGAGACCATGATCTAAATGAAAACAAGTCTTATTTAAACAGACTTCATCATTTAAATCATTATTCATGCTATAGAACTTTCAACAAGTTAACAGGTATAAAGACATATACCCCCCGTCTTCCAAAGCTCTGCTACCATTTACACCCACATAATATTTGTTATACCCAGTCTAACAAATATTATTACAATTAATAACTATAACGTATACTAATTTCATTTTTTATTTTCCCTTATATATTCTGGGTAGTATATATATGTATATAATCTACAAATGATGGTTTATATATGTGAATTAAAATGAATATTAATGAAGGAAAATAATAAATGTTTAGGCAAAAAAAAAAAATTTGGACAGAGCAATGCCTAATTAATTATCATATGAATTAATATATAAAAGTTTGGAATATAAATTTATTCTTTTATTCTTTTATTTTTTATGACCGAAGGTGTCCGTATCAACTAACGTGCACCTTACGTCCTCAACTAATCCCCCAAAATCTCAAAATCTTGAAACTATTAATTAGGTAAGTGCTCCTTGGCTATTCTATTAGTAACCAAAGGGGGAGGAGACTCGAACTTAAGACCTCTTAAATAATACACCAAAAAATTATTCTTCACATTTAACCACAACAAATTTTTATGTTTAACTATAATTTGATTTTAGTATTATGTTCACATCAAGCATCTACAATTTATGCAAATCAGAAAATAGAACACCATCATTCTTGTTTCCACATGTTTTTCTAGTATTTAAATTCTAGATAAATTTTGTTACTCCACCTATGGTTTAAAAATATTTCAACATTTACCATAAGCCTATTAAAAAAATCAAGTCTCAATTCCTCGGTAACAAATGAATAAAATAACATCTCCAACAAACAAAAGAAAATTTACCTCTTCCATGCTTTCAAGGTCTTGGCCTAAGCTACAGAAGTTGAAGTTGCCATCAAATTAATGATTTCTTCAAGTATCTTACCTTCAATGGAACCATCACTTTATGCAAAGAGAGATGGCAAAAGGAAAAATAAAATAAAATTACAGAACCTCAAAAGGAACTAAAAATGCTGAAAATGCATTTACTGTTCCACCGTACTAGAATTGGCATCCCAAAACTTCATCAAGTATTACCTGATCTTAGTTTAGATGACTCATATATTTACATTAGCTACTCCACATATGCTTCTCTACTTCTTCGGCAACAAAAGTACTAAGGAAACTGAACTAGAACTTGTAGGGTGTTACCCTCCCTTTACTTTTTGACAACCCTGGCTCTGCAATCTTAACCAGGATAAACCTGCCATCGAAAAACTGAACAGAAAAATGATTCACAAGCATCTAAAGGTGCATGATTGCATATCCAAGGAGATTAAACTATGAAGATGGATACCTCGCCGTTCATTTCTTTGATGGCCAATTTGGCAGAATCTTTTTTTGTGAACCAAACAAATGCAGATCCTAAAGACTGCTTAAACTTTTTCTCTACAACAATTTTAACTGCAAGATTAGACATAAATGTAAAATCAGAATCACTTTAGCTTTAAATTTTTGCCAACAACATAACAGCCACAGTTTAGCGTTACTAAGCAGAAACAGAGATAATAAAGCTTCAACAGAATACGTGGTGGACTATACAATTGGAACTCTTTTCCCCTTTTTATTTTTTTTTTTATTTTTTTTATAACTCAAAGTGTTCGAGCCAGCTTACACACATCTCAACTAATTATTTAGGATCGTAAAACTACCGATCGGGTAAAAATTCTAGTGATTACCCTATTATCAACTGAGGAGGAATTCGAAGTCAAAACCTCTTAAGTAACACATAAAAAAGTCTTTATTAAACTACTCGATCAGTCAGAGGTAGTTAACTCTTTTCCAATTGAAGATCCTAAAATTGTTGACTCCACAAACTTGTTTAAAACTGAAAGATAATTACTAAACAGTGTTGCTAAATAATGACATTTAAATGCAAGAAAATCAGTAAATGGAATTGTTATATCTAGTAATAAGTAAATTCTATCTTGAAGTTAATTCCAGAGCAGAGAAATTCACCTTGAACAACTTCCCCAAATTGTGAAAACGCCTTCTTCAAGCGTCCCTCCGTCGTTGATTCCGGCAGTCCTGCATCAATTTAAACAGAATCCATTTCAATCATCAACAAGGTTTTCCACAAGAATAATCGATAATTATAAACATCCCCATAGTCAAATTAGAGAGGGGTATGCGTACCTTTGATGAAAACCCCAGTTGAAGAAGAAGCGTCTGATTCCATTGAAGAGGTAGAGTTTGTGGCAGAGCAAGACCTCTTAAGAGATGGGTAGCGGCTAGTGGGTGAAACAGAAACTGATACTGAAGAAGTGTTGTGAGTTATTATTATGGAAATTTGGGTTTTTGAGAGAAAGAGTGTTGGAATTGCCGAGGGTTTGAGGGATTGAAGAAAGGGTTGGAACAGTGCCATTCCAAAGCCCTCAAAAGTCAAAACCAAGCTGTAGAGGGACTGAGGGAGAAGGCCAAAATTACTCTGTAAAAACAAAATTAAATTAAATAAACACGTTTTCATCACTTAAATCCAAATAAGGTTACAAAAACTTCAAGTAAATTTGATTAAAATTTTCAATCAAAATCATAGATTAATTAAATACCTCATAACAATCACTATCTTACTCATGAATTTATCTAATAATTTAAACTGAATCAATAAATACTAATCCAATCCATTTTTGCAATACAAGAGAGTAGAAAAAAAATCTATAATATGATTTAATATATATAGGCTTCGTTTGTTTCAATTTTCAGAATACTACTTTTAGTATTCCCAAAAAAGTTAAACAGTAAAATACCCAAAAACTTTGGGCTGTGTTTGTTTCAGTTTTGGGAATACTACTTTTAGTATTCCCAAAAAAGTTAAACAGTAAAATACCCAAAAACTTTGATTTTTGGGAATACTACTCTCAATATTATTCAACTTTTTTTAAACCCCTTAAATTTGATAATTTAATTAAATACCCCTAAATATTTTTTAAAAAATTACAAAAACACCCCAGTAATTTATATTCACTAGATTCCGGCCACCACTGCCGGAAAATAGCCGGAATCTGTTAGAATGGCGCACTACCGGCTGAATCTGGCCGGTAGTGCGCCGATCTAGCCTTTTCCGGTCAGATCCACGGTGGATCTGGCCGGAAAAGGCCAAATCTAAGGCCAAAGATCTGGCCGTTGACGGCCAGATCTTTGGCCATAACAGTTTATAACGACGGCCAACAAACGGTCGTCATTGACCATCAACGATGATCGTTTATTGGTCGTCGTTGACAAGCAAATACGGCCAGATCTGGCCGTAGATCTGGCCTTTGTCGGCCAGATCCACCGCGGTGGATCTGGCCGACAAAGGCCATATCGGCGCACGACCGACAAGATCCAGCCGGTCATGTGCCAATACGGTAAACCCGGCCACCCTCCGGCGGTGGTGGCCGGCTGTCCGTATTTGACATTGGGTTGGGAGTGTTTTTGTTAACTTTTAAGATTTTATTATAGGGGGTGTTTTGTAAATAAACAAATATAGGGGGTATTTTATTAATTTATAAATCCTACATCGTAATACCCGCCCCATTCAACTTTTTTTTAACTTTTTTCAGAAAACTTTTCCCAAAAACACCCAATTGTGAACCAAACAAAGCCATAGACATTTATATTTTAACGTTCTTTTTTTTTTTTTTTTTTTAGATTGGGGGTATTCGGGTTAATTTACGTACATCTCAACTAATCTCTTAAGATCTTAGAACTATTGACAGGATAAGAGCTCCACTAACTAGGGATGTTTAAAAAAATGTCAAAACCAATTAACCGAAAAATTGGTTTGGTTACGATTCAAAGAATTCAAAAAACCGGATTTTAGGTTCGGTTTTCTGTTTGGGGGAAATTGAAAACGGATTAACCAAAACCGATTTGCTAATATATATATATATATATATATATATATATATCCCAACATTAATTGTGGTTTAATTTCTTTAATAATTTTGTTATTGTAGGCAATGAATTTTTTTTTTTAATTTTTATAAACTTCTAATATTTAATTTTTATTTGAACAAAAATTGGGAGAGCCACTCGTATTGACTTAATGTTGGTTTCCGCTTTCCACTTGTAGAGTTGTATTTGCACAATTTCTTTTGTTGCTTTCCATTGGGACTTATTTAGTTATTTAGTTGTTTTATTATGAACATTCATTATGGATTTTTATTTTTGTTTCATTTCAGACTTTTATTTGTATTAATGTTTTTATGAATTATTAGTTGCGATCTATAGATATGTATGAATGTTTAATTTTTATTTGGATATTTATTGTTGGTGCTTACAATTTAATTCAAGAATTTTTTTTTTTTAAAAAAGTTTAATCCAATTTAAGGGGAAAATCAATTTAAAACTGGTTTTCCCCCCAAACAGGTTCAATTTCAGTTCATGAATTTTCCTGAACTAAAAAACCGATTCGGTTTAAGAAAGCGGTTAACTGCTTCTTAACTCTCCTAACCTCTCATCATACTAGAGCTCAATCCAGATTATTATTATTAATTTTTTTTTTAATAGCCGAGATGTCTAGGCCAGCTTGCACGCACTTCAACTAATCCTTAGGATCTATTGAACACCATATAAGTCAAAGGACTAGATAAGCCACAATAATATTGAGGTTGGTGACCCTATGGTTTGAAGTTAAGAACTCAAAGAATGAAACAAACCTCCTTGATCGCTAGGCCAATCTCTTCTAGTTAATCCAGAGTATTTCAAATTGTACATTTTTTATATTGTATCGAAGTGGCCGATAATGCTTTTTGAAAATAATTATAATAATTATTTTATCTATTTCTATTATTAAAAACATTTTTGCCCTTGCCCTGGACTATGACTAATAGGTTACACTCAAAGGTCAAATCCATCTACAAAAATTATCAACTTGACATTTCATATTACTTTGTGGTTTCTTCTTCTAAAGTATCTATGTGAAGCTTGATATTCTACGACTTTAGTAGTATAGCAAAGTATGAGAGTCCCTTGGGGAAATAAGGGAGTGCTCTAGAGTGGTTGTGAAACTTTTGGGTTATGGAAAATAGAAAAGGGGCCAACTATTGGTGGGGACCGAGCATTGTAGGATAGGAAGCTGATTGAGTCAGAAGGGTTTGAGTCCGCTCAATATGTTGCAACTGATTCTTCAAATGCTTGATTTCTTGTTCCTGACAGGAAAAATATTTTTTATATGAGATGAGAGAAAGAATCTCTTGATGAAGGGATTCAATACGAGCACGTAGTTTTGCCATAGATGACTCATGGCTAGTAAGTCTAGACTCTAATTAAGCTTCAATTCGTTGGAGACAAGAATTTTGAGCCAAAGCATTTTGAGACTGCCAGTTTAAAACTATTTCTGCAGGAGAAGGTTTCTTAGGCTTTCCATCCGGATCAACTATTGTTGGATCTTTTATTTTTCAAGAATGGGAAGTATTGTCTGAAGTAAAGGGTGTAAGTGGAGGAAAGGCTTCAGGTGGAAAAATGCTATGATTTGTGGAAGAAGATGGAGGAGTTGACCTACTTGTGTACATGGCACAATGAGCAGTTGTAAGTGCCTCTCTTGGGGGAGAAATGTGTTTAAGAACCTTATTATAATAAGGATTAAATCATGTGTATCCCATCCTATGGATCTAGAAGGATTTGGTGTTACTAGGGGAGCACCATAAGAGACAAAATAGTCATATTTTCCGGATGGTTGTCCTAGAGTACCAACTGTAAGATCACCTCTGTCAAACTTATCTTTAAACTTCTTGCAAGAGTTGTTTGCCTTTGATTCCTTCTTTCTGTGAGGCATATCATACTCTGCTTTTGTAAGACATTCTTCACAATCACATAAATCAAAATATTTGTGTCTTGTTATTAGATTAGCAAAAGCATAGACAGGAGCGCCTTCTGCATCAAAGGATGTAATAGGAACATCCTCATACTTTCTCCGTGGAGGTGGTGAAATGAGCAATGGGGTACAGAGAAACTGTGTAGGGAAGCAAGCTGAAGTTTCTTGGGGAGGGGTTTCTCTTTCATACTTGGTTTCTACAGTACCATCAGGTAGGGTTTTGAAGGTACATGTTGTTTGAATCGGCTGATTCTTTTCTAAGGTAGGATGAAGTGTCTCATAGGCTGTGAGCCATCTTTCTGGCATAAGAGTCAACAGTTCTGGTCGTGGGATTTGTCGTGGAACATAAGTGCAGCTAGGAGTGCATTGACTATTGAATTTGAGAAACAAGGCTTTGTCCACCAAATCTGGATCTCTAGAAGGAGCAAGATCAAAAGCATGATTCTGAACTCTATAGACAAGTCAGTAGTGGAGTGTAGCCATGAAGTCACTAGTGGAATTTCGCCAGCTATCTGAACTTGGACCTTAAGAGCATTCAACAGAGCATTGTCTTTAAGAAGCATATTAAAGTTTGGATAAAAAGTAACCATAATGGTACCAACATTGAGAGTTGTTTCCATGCTGCCGATGCAAACACTGATGTATATAGCAAACCGAGTGTCAAGTAGGGCTACTTGGGCTGTGGTTGGAAGGTCTTTGCGTCCATGAAAGGTAAGGGCAAGACATGCAACACCGAAGTGAAGATGCATCTAGTCTTCTGATTGCCATTGCATCACAAGTTCTTAAGGGAAATGCAAAGAAAAAAAATGCTCGGACATGGTGGTAGGTACACCATGCTGATCAAAGCGAGAACTGTAGACATATTCCTTGGTATGATATCTAGGTGGATGTACCAAGGTACGTAGTCTGGTAGCAACCGGTTTAGGTGGTTTTTTTATATGGAGAGGGTATAAGAAGATTATCAAGCGGAGTGGAATCACCTTCTTCAAGGTATGAGAGTTCGTAGAGGGAATCAACTTTGTCTTTGAGATCTGTTCGCAAAAGAGCGGTGGAGGAACTAGAAGAAGAGCAAGAGGGTCTTGGAGAGGAAAAAGAAGAAGAACGAGAAAGTTCAGGTTTCTTTAATCCATTGCTTATGGTTAGAAACTGCATTAATTCATTCTAGTAAAAATGCACTAGCAAGACATAGGCAAGAATACATTTCACAGAGCATAAAGATCCAAATACCATAATAGGCTGTGATGTGGGCACAGCGAAGTAAGATACTGTAATGTTCAATCTATAAGATAAGAAGAGTTTCATATATTCACTGAAAAATTCTCCAGGCAGTCTAGAGAGGCACAAAGGGCCTGCTTAAATACCAGCCGCCTTAGACACACAGTCTTGTTGACAAGAAGTTTCCAATAAAATATGACTCAATCCAACTATCTTTAGAAGGAAGCAGTACACTTACTTACCTACAATTATTCATAGGTATGATGGCATATGGCTCTAATACCAGCTATGCAGCATATAAGACTGAAGTGAACAGTACTGCTATAGTAGCCGTTGTGGTAGGGCTGGTGAGTTGGGGCCTCTATAATCTTGGGGGCCGATTACTCCATTATTATATATATATAATAAAAATAATAATAATCTTAATCCTAAACGACCAAACCTAAATCCCAACATTAATTATGGTTTGATTTCTTTAACAATTTTGTTATTGTAGGCAATGAAAAAAAAAATATATGATTTAATTTTTATAAACTTCTAACATTTCATTTTTATTTGGACAGAAATTGAGAGAGCTACTCATATTGACTTAATGTTGGTTTCCGCTTTCCACTTGTGGAGTTGTATTTGCATAATTTCTTTTGTTGCTTTCCATTGGCATTTATTTAGTTATTTAGTTGTATTACTATGAACGTTTCATTATGGATTTTTATTTTTGTTTCATTTTGGACTTTTATTTGTATCAATTTTTAATGTATTGTTAGTTGTGATCAATGGATATGTATGAATGTTTAATGTTTATTTGGATATGTATTGTTGATGCTTACAATTTAATTCAAATTTTTTTAAAAAAAAAAAAATGTTTAATCCAATTTAAGGGGAAAACCGATTCAAAACCGGTAAAGTTTCAGTTCAGGAATTTTCCTGAACCAAAAAACTGATTCGGTTCAAGAAAGCGGTTAACTGCTTTTGAACACCCCTAACCTCTCATCATACTAGTACTCAATCCAGATTATTATTATTATTATTATTATTATTATTATTGATAATCGAGGTGTACAGACTAGTTTGCACGCATCTCAACTAATCTCTAAATCTATTGAACACTATACAAGCCAAAGGATTAGGTAAGTCATAATATTATTGAGGTTGGTGACCCTATGGTTTGAACCTAAGAAATCAAATAAGGAAGTAAACCTTCTTGACCATTAGGTCAACCCCTTAGGGCTTAGGGTTAATCCAGAGTATTTCAAATTGTACATTTTTTATATTTTATCGAAGTGGCCGGTAATGCTTTTTGAAAATAACTATTTTATCTATTTCTATTATTAAAAACATTTTTGCCCTTGCCCCGGACTATCACTAATAGGTTCCACTCAAAGGTCAAATCCATCTACAAAAATTATCAACTTGACATTTCATATTACTTTGTGGTTTCTTCTTCTAAAGTATCTATGTGAAGCTTGATATTCTACGACTTTAATAGTATAAAAAAGTTTCTAAAAAATTCTTATACATCTTGTTCTAAGATATTAACGAATTTCCTTATCTTGATAAGATTAAGATTAATTTAAGGGAATTGCATGCTTTAGTTAAGTATAACTACAATTATAACATCTAAATTGACCATCAAAAGTTCAAAGGAATTTTTACATGCACTTTCTAATATTATAACTTTATGATTACAACAATTCTCCCATAACAAGTGGAACAAATTTATATTTGATCCATATACCCCATCTAAAACAAAACTAAAATTTGGGTTCAAAAATTTATATAAGAAAATTTCATCATCTTCATGTTAATCACTTTATTCATTAATCTATATAATTAAATAAAATCTCTTGACCATTGTATTCATATAAAGTTAGCGTCAAATTCCCAATTTAAAAAAGAAACTTGAGGCTTGGTTCCTTATCTTCATCTTTCGGTACCATCAAGCTGATTACAAAGCCTACAATATAATCAATTAACCTCAGTTAATACATAAACAGAGAGTGAAACTCCATGGAATCAAAGTTGCAGAAATTTATTATAAATATATGAATAGGTTCACGTTACTCATTTAAAAAATATATATATATATATATATATATTTTGTTATTAGAAATATTAAGAGTCTAAAAAAAATGGAGTCTCTGTAGAACGATAGAATCCTCAATGACACATTAATGGTGTGGTTAATGTATCATAGTCGAAGCTGCTGCAATCAAGTTTTCAGCAATAAGCCATAAGCCAAAACCAGGTGCGTCTCTCTCGTTGAATCATGCCCATAAATATGCTTCTCTAGATAGTTGTCCACCAGTTAATGTCTACTAATTAGCGTTTGTTGTATTATATGCGAGACCAGAGCAAAAGGACAAACAGCCAATTAAGCTACAGACAACATGAAAGCCAAAACATAATGAAGTCTGGTTAATTTCCTGGAAGATGCACTTTGAAGAGAATACAAAAAGAACTTTTGCTTTCGATAATAAATTAAAGGAATGAGTACAAAGGCTGGGAGCTTAAGATTCTTTCCAAGTGACCTCGACATCTTTGGCTCCTCATGCCGGCCAGAATGTGACTCTCTTCATTATCTCAACTAACAATATTCAGTCTTTCTATTGAATAGTTGACTATCTTAACACGCACATGAACTTCCACCTCGAATATTATCATCCTTCCCACTTCCAAATGCTAGTTTTTATCTATGTAATTCAACAAAATAATATATCACACATAAAGAAAGCTAGTAATTATCATTTACCAAATCTGGGATTTCATATAATTATTAATTATAGTTAAATTACAGAGGATTGAGAGCACTGAAAGAGAACCGAGAGCGATAGTAGGTCGAGGTCGCTAGTTTATTAGTTATCACACATGCAATTACATGACCACCTAAATCAGGATAGTCTGTCCGTACACGTACGCCCGATTTTTTTCTGAGAACGCAACAAAATTTGATCGTTTTGGTTTATCTATGTATTCGTTCAAATTGAAATCGTGATTGATAGACATGGCGCAGTATTTGATCTTTATCTTGTATTTTCTGCGAAAGAAGAAGTGGGTTGATAAGTGATCAACGGTGATTACCATTTTCTATTAAAGAAACTCTTCTCAATCTTATTCAAACTTAACTTTGTCTGCCATTAAAATGAGAGAGCAAACAATAAAAGGAAAGACAAAACAAGAGGATAACTGCATTAGAACATTTCGTTTTCAGTTCTCGTATGGCCATTTTCATTCACTAATCTGTTTGCTTTTCCTGAAAATTATCAACAATGGTTTTACTAAAAAAAAAAAAAAAAAAATCGCTACTTTTGGCTATATATGTTTTTATCAATTATCATGAATTCAGTCTCACATAATATATATATATATATAGAGAAAAATTCTGATTCTTAGGGTTTGCATGGTAAGGGTGAATAACGATTGCATGTAATTTTATAAACTGCCCCAAGGTATATTCTCTTGCTCGGGGAAGAGTATTCAACGATATATATATGAAAAACCTTTGACTGCTAGAAAAGCAGTTGCCAAAAGCCTAGTCTACAAGATAATATTTGAACATGTTTTTTTTTTATCTCTCCTTTGTAATGTGTCGTGGGATGTTTTTAATAAATTAGAATACACTCTATTAAAGTTGTTTTCTTATGGAGAGGTTTAATAATTGATGAAAAGAAAAGGTTTGACCACCATATATATACCATCAACTAACATTAATAATAGTTTTATCCAAGTGCTTCTTGGAATGACGTGCAATTTCAATAATTAATTAGATGATTAATTCTTGGTGTCACATGAGAATTGACCTTATTATCTACATCCAATGCAATGGTATCTTCCAGTCGTGCATTATTATTGTCATCAAGTTGACTTCATCATACCAAACCCAATTATTTATTATTTAGCCAGTTTTGAATTCGTGACATTAGTCACACTTTTAACTTAAAACCCATTTTAGTTATTAGTTAGTTAGAATGTCTATTGCTCTCACATTAATTATCGATTTCAATTTATAAACTCTTTTTTTTTTAATGAAAAGGAAAGAAACTAATCATAATCCAGAATATTACATGTTTTTTTAAGCCTACATTTCGCTTCTCCAGGGCTTTAGCGCTTTACCCAATTGGGTATTTTGCAAACATCAAAACAACTTTTTTTTTTTTTAATTTTATTTGAGTTTTTACCTAAAAACTTAATAATTATATTATTATTATTCTTTTAAGGGTCAAATTAATATAGATTAAATGATAATTTAATCTCTTTAGAAAGGATATTAGAGTGTGAGTGATGAATGAACCATCTCTTTTTATTAAAAAAAAATTATATTGTATGGTAAGTTGAAAAAAAAAAAAAAAAAAAAGAAATTCGTAGGAGTGGTGACGTGGGTCCAAGGGACTTTTAATATGGGAGTGGTGAGTGGGGTATAAAGGCTTCATCTCCATATCATATAATTGGAGATTGGAATCATGTGGCATGAAGACGACAAGGGTTTCTGGTTTGGACCCACCATTCACCACTGTTTTCATCCTTTTGTATTTTCACCCTTTTTAAAGATTCCCACACATTTATTCTATTTTTAATCACCACCGTCGATCCAACCCATTAAGCATATACCTTTCAATCAAATCAACACCACTTTTGGTCCCACCCTTCAGGTTCTCCAGAACCCCTAGATCCCCAGTGGATGGTGACTGATTCATCATATGAAAATTACTTTATATGATACTGCAACAAGCACAATAGACTAGAGAGAAACACTCACCATCTCTCATATATTATTCCAATCATTTATATATAAAAAGTAATAATATATATTTATATATTATATACCAATGTTACAGCTCATGTCACACCGAAACACCAAAACACAACCCTCCGATCATGTACAGAACTGCTGGGTCCTACATTTTCTTATTGGACTATTCCACCACACTCGCACACAACACTTACTGTATCATGATTGATGCAGGTGCACCACACAGTAGTATAGTAGTACGGAAAATTCAAAGGCAAAGGCGCCCCCTCGTGTGCGTGTGTGACGTTGATTTCATCAGCCAGCACGGATTTCTAAAATGCTCCCATCTGTACGGCCGCCAAATGTATGCATATAACGACCTGACATTAACCTCTCTAAAGTAACAATTCTCCCCTTTTGTTTTGTTTTGTTTTTTTGTTTTTTTTTGTTTTTTTTTAATTAGATAGTAAATATATGCCATTACATAAAAATTACCAGAACCAAAAAAGGGAAATTCCACGCGTGGCAGAATGCCACGTGGCACCATCATGTGTCGTCTGGGGTTGATTGTGTGGGTCCATACCTCTAGCGAGTTGCGGCTGCCACGGCGGCGATGGGCATGGGTGGAGTACTAATAAGGGTGGAGGTAGGCGCTGTGCCGGGTGACACAATGGTGGTCATTCGGTCTTCATCATGAAGGAATTTTTCAACAATCATGGCACTGGTTCGTCTCACTACCTCATCCCAAGCATGGTCGGCCTCTGCGCCGCGTTTTAGGAAGACTTCAGTGGCGTCTATGCGATGCATGTTCCAATTCCATTGATTATATAGCCTTCGGATTTTTTGTAATTGGCGACAAGCTAGCGAACAAGTGTTGTCTTTGATTTTTGCAATGGCTGCTTGTAGATATTTGATTCGAGTTTCATCATCAAGAATGGATTCATCACGTAAAAACTGGTCTAATTCAGGGACCCCAATTGCACGTCTAATTCCTTTGGAATAATCAGCCTGAGGATCAAATATACTTTTGACCTCTTCTACGAGGCCAAGCTCCACCATCCGATCAACTCTTTCGGATACAAAAGAATGGAGGACGGGCAATGAAACATCAACCCAGAGAAAGCAACATTCGTACCTGAATCGGAAGTCGGGATCATCGTTGACTAGAGCTTCAATGTAGGAATTTGAGCCACCAGCGATGATGGGGAGGCATTCACGTGCGACGATGGATTCAGTGGCTAGTGAAGCTTTGTTTCGGAAGTCAGTTGCGGTGAAATTTGAATTGGGGTCTATCGTGCCAAGTAAATGGTGGGGGACACCGTTACACTCCTCTTCAGTAACTTTATTGGTGACTATTTCGAGGCCTTTGTAAACCTGTATTTTATCAGAATTCACAATCTCTGCAGGGAAACGAGTAGCGAGATCAATGGCAAGTCGTGACTTGCCAGTACCCGTAGCTCCCATTACAAAGACAACCTTGTCTTTCCGTCGAAAGAAAGGCTCCATGTTGAGACCAACCTGGAAATTCACTAGCGGCTGTACAGCCTGTTTACAGGCAGACATGGAAAGCTTCATATCCGGTTAACCTGATGACAAATTAAACACAAGAAATCTGAAATCACCGATGTAAAGTTATCCAAACTACAAGCATGTAACAGGTTATATATAGAAAAAGAAAAAGAAAAAGAAAAATCGAAATAACTCCACATAGTTTGATGGACCACTATACCTTTACTATGAAATATGCGGCGTGTGGTGTGGAGGAAAAATGGCCACTACAATCTCTCTCCTTTGTGGAAAGAAATAAAGATTAAGGTGTAGCAAAAGTTGATGGAAATGGCTGGAACCGAATATGAAGCAAAGGTAGGGGTAAAGGAAGAGGGGGTTGTATCAGGTATATGCAAAGCTAACTCTAAGGACAATTGAAAATATTAGGGTGCTCCTATAGGTATATGTGCACTTGGAAAAGGGAATTGTGACAAAAGATATAGCACTAATTGTTAGGGGAAAATGAAAGTGTTTGTAGGTTTGTGAAAGACTGATTATGACACAAAATAAGGTGGTAGATATGGATTCTCTCTCTGATCTGATCTTTCAGTCTTCACAAATATAACTTCAAGTTCAGTCATCTGCTCAGGTTGGGTATTTATGGTAGCAGGATGAGGTTAGCGTAACAAGGAGTTGCATAGTTTTTCCATGCTTGTGGATTCCCCTCAAGACACTTGTAATTTTTTAATAGGTAAAGTAAACTCCACCTGCATGCCAATAAACTAATTACATAATCAGAAACGGCACAAAGGGTAACTTTTTTAGTTAGCTTCAATACGTACAACAATTACAGCAATCAATAATATTATTTAGTGTCTTATGGTATCAATCTAGGGTTATGTTGACTTGAGTTTGGCTCCTAATAAAGTGTAGGACAACGTTCTGAACACCCAAAATTATTTTTTTTCAGATTGAACACAATTCCAAGACAAAGTTAATAAATATTCAATGAAAAATTACTTTTGGAATCACCAGTTTAATGTCACAAGCTGGTTTGTGTTTTAAATTGATTAAGATTAATAAGGGAATTGCATGCTTTAGCTAAGTATAACTACAATTAAACATCTAAATTGACATCAAAAGTTCAAGGAATTTTTACTGCACTTTCTAATATTATAACTTTATGATTACAACAATTCTCCATACAAGTGGAACAAATTATATTTGATCCATATACCCCATCTAAAAAAAAACTAAATTTGGGTTCAAAATTTATATAGAAAATTTCATATCTATGTTAATCACTTTATTCTTAATTTATTAATTAAATAAAATCTCTGACCATTCTATTATAAAGTTAGCGTCAAATTCCCAATTTAAAAAGAAACTTGAGGCTTGGTTCTTATTTCGCCTTCGGTACCATCAAGCTGATTACAAAGCCTATAATATAATCAATAACCTCAGTAATACATAAACAGAGAGTGAAACTCCATGGAATCAAGTTGCAGAAATTTATATAAATATATGAATGGTTCACGTTGTCATAAAAAAAAAAAAAAAATATTTGTTATTGAAATATTAAGAGTCTAAAAAAAAATGGAGTCTCTGTAGAACGATAGAATCCTCAATGACACATTAATGGTGTGTTAATGTATCATAGTGGAAGCTGCTGCAATCAAGTTTCAGCAATAAGCCAAAACCAGGTGCGTCTCTCTCGTTGAATATGCCCATAAATTGCTTCTCTAGATAGTTGTCCACCAGTTAATGTCTACTAATTAGCGTTTGTGTATTATATGCGAGACCAGAGCAAAGGACAAACAGCCAATTAAGCTACAGACAACATGAAAGCCAAAACATAATGAAGTCTGGTTAATTTCCTGGAAGATGCACTTTGAAGAGAATACAAAAAGACTTTTGCTTTCGATAATAAAATAAAGGAATGAGTAAAAGGCGGGACTTAAGATTCTTTCCGAATGACCTCAACATCTTTGGCTCTCATGCCGGCCAGAATGTGACTCTTCATTATATCAACTAACAATATTCAGTCTTTCTATTGAATAGTTGACTATTTAACAGCACATGAACTTCCCCTCGAATAGTATCATCCTTCCCACTTCCAAATGCTAGTTTTATCTATGTAATTCAACAAAATAATTATCACACATAAAGAAAGTAGTAATTATCATTACCAAATCTGGGATTTATTTAATATTAATTATAGTTAAATTACAGAGGATTGAGAGCACTGAAAGAGAACCGAGAGCGATAGTGGTCGAGGTCGCTAGTTTATAGTTATCACACATGCAATTACATGAACACCTAAATCAGGATAGTCTGTCCGTACACGTACGCCCGATTTTTTTCTGAGAACGCAACAAAATTGGGTTGAAAGTGGTATCTATGTATTCGTTCAAATTGAAATCGTGATTGATAGACATGGCGCAGATTTGATCTTTACTTGTATTTTCTGCGAAAGAAGAAGTGAGTGTGATAAAGTGATGAACGGTGATTACCATTTTCTAGAAAGAAACTTTCTCCTCTATTCAAACTTAACTTTGTCTGCCATTAAAATGAGAGAGCAAACAATAAAGGAAAGACAAAACAGAGGAATACTGCATATAACATTTCGTTTTCAGTTCGTGTGGCCATTTTCATTCACTAATCTGTTTGTTTTCCTGAAAATTATCAACAAGTGTTTTACTAAAAAAAAAAAAAAAAAAAAAATCGCTACTTTTGGCTATATATGTTTATCAATTATCATGATTCAGTCTCACATAAATATATATATATATAGAGAAATTCTGATTCTTAGGGTTTGCATGGTAAGGGTGAATAACGATTGCATGTAATTTTATAAACTGCCCCAAGGTATATTCTTGCTCGGGGAAGAGTATTCAACGATATATATATGAAAAACCTTGACTGCTAGAAAAGCAGTTGCCAAAAGCCTAGTCTACAAGATAATATTTGAACAGTTTTTTTTTTTATCTCTCCTTTGTAATGTGGTGGGATGTTTTAATAAATTAGAATACACTCTATTAAAGTTGTTTTCTTATGGAGAGGTTAATAATTGATGAAAAGAAAGGTTTGACCACAATATATACCATCAACTAACATTAATAATAGTTTTATCCAAGTGCTTCTTGGAATGACGGCAATTTCAATAATTAATTAGATGATTAATTCTTGGTGTCACATGAGAATTGACCTTATTATCTACATCCAATGCAATGGTATCTCCAGTCGTGCATTATTATTGTCATCAAGTTGACTTCATCATACCAACCCCATTATTTATTATTAGCCAGTTTTGAATTCGTGACATTAGTCACACTAACTAAAACCCATTTTAGTTATTAGTTAGGTAGATGTCTATCGTGTGGAGTTGTTTGACTACTCAGTATTAATGGGTAACGGAGACACAGGGGGTCCCGCTGCCCGGTCAGCGGGCGGATGCCCGCTCCCGGTGAGCGGGCGGGGGTCGCGGGGGCAGCGCCCCTGAGCTCGTAGACGGTTTGGGGCTTTTCCATGTATAACCGCTGTAGGATTCCTTTTAAGTTATTAATTCCTTTTGGGTTGGGCTTAGGAATAGAATTCTTGTAAAACTAGGTTAATCTCTTAACCTAGTATATAAACATTCTTTTCTCTTGTTATGTGTGTGAGAACAATTCATTCATTGTAAACGATAGAGGTGAGACATTTGCAATAATATTGTACAGCTGGACGTAGCCTACATTGGGTGAACCAGGGTAAATCGCGCGTATTAATTCTTTGTTACTGTTGTTTTGGTTAACTATTATTATTTTGTTCCTGTTACTTTCTATTTCGTTCATATGCTCTCACATTAATTATCGATTTCAATTTATAAACTCTTTTTTCTAATGAAAAGGAAAGAAACTAATCATTCCAGATTATTACATGTTTTTTTAAGCCTACATTTCGCTTCTCCAGGGCTTTAGCGCTTTACCCAATTGGGTATTTTGCAAACATCAAAACAACTTTTTTTTTTTAATTTTATTTGAGTTTTTACCTAAAAACTTAATAATTATATTATTATTATTCTTTAAGGGTCAAATTAAATAGATAAATGATAATTTAATCTCTTTAGAAAGGATATTAGAGTGTGAGTGATGAATGAACCATCTCTTTTTATTAAAAAAAAATTATATTGTATGGTAAGTTGAAAAAAAAAAAAAAAAAAAAGAAATTCGTAGGAGTGGTGACGTGGGTCCAAGGGACTTTTAATATGGGAGTGGTGAGTGGGGTATAAGGCTTCATCTCCATATCATATAATTGGAGATTGGAATCAGTGGCATGAAGACGACAAGGGTTTCTGGTGGACCCGCATTCACCACTGTTTTCATCCTTTTGTATTTTCACCCTTTTCAAAGATTCCCACACATTTATTCCATATTAATCACCACCGTCGATCCAACCCATTAAGCATAAACCTTTCCATCAAATCAACACACTTTTGGTCCCACCCTTCAGGTTCTCAGAACCCCTAGATCCCCAGTGGATGGTGACATGATTCATCATATGAAATTACTTTATATGATACTGCAACAAGCACAATGACTAGAGAGAAACACTCACCATCTCTTATATTATTCCAATCATTAATATAAAAAGTAATAAAGTGTTGGAATTGCCGAGGGTTTGAGGGATTGAAGAAAGGGTTCGAACAGTGCCATTCCAAAGCCCTCAAAAGTCAAAACCAAGCTACAGAGGGACTGAGGGAGAAGACCAAAATTGCTTTGTAAAAACAAAATTAAATTAAATAAACACGTTTTCATCACTTAAATCCGAATAAGGTTACAAAAACTTCAAGTGAGTTTGATTAAAATTTTCAATCAAAATCATAGATTAATTAAATACCTCATAACAATCACTACCTTACTCATGAATTTACCTAATAATTTAAACTGAATCAATAAATACTAATCCAATCCATTTTTGCAATAAAAGAGAGTAGAAAAAAAATCTATAATATGATTTAATATATACAGACATTTATATTTTAACGTTCTTTTTTTTTTTAGATTGAGGGTATTCGAGTTAATTTACGTGTACCTTAACTGATCTCTTAAGACCCTAAAATTTCTGACATGATAAAAGCTCCACTGACTAGGGGTGTTAAAAAAAATGTCAAAACTGAACCGAACTGAAAAATTGATTAACTGAAAAACTAGTTTGGTTACAGTTCAAAGAATTCAAAAAATCGGATTTTAGGTTCGGTTTTCGGTTTGAGTGAAATTGAAAACCGGTGTCACTAACCGGTCTGATAATATATATATATATATATTAAATAAAAATAAAAATAATCTTAATCCTAAACAGTTAAACCTAAATCCCAACATTAATTGTGATTTGATTTCTTTAACAGCTTTGTTATTGTAGGCAATGAAAAACAATGATTTAATTTTTATAAACTTCTAACATTTAATTTTTATTTGGACAGAAATTGGGAGAACTAATCGTACTGACTTAATGTTGGTTTCCATCTTCCACTCGTGGAGTTGTATTTGCATAATTTCTTTTGTTGCTTTCCATTGAGACTTATTTAGTTATTTAGTTGTTTTATTATGAACATTCATTATGAAGTTTTATTTTTGTTTCATTTCAGACTTCTAT